TTGGCGAGGATGAGTAATTTTCAAGTGAGAGTGATGTGAATACAGAGGCTACAAATTCACCCGACGCCGTGTATCTGAAAGCAGTGATCCCTTTCAGGTGCGAACACCGACTTTATCCATTTCCTAAGCAGTGTGGTCATCTGATGTGGAGTGCAATAATTAAGTAGCCGGTGACTCCTATTCACTTCTTGGGTAGATTGAGTCAGCGATGTTTCACAGCCCCCTCTTATCTCTAGCATTCCTTATGTGATCACTGTGATGAGTGATTTTTTCAGGCCTTTATACGCAACTTCACCTGCTGATCCATTCGTTGACCCGAAAAACAGGCTTGTCTTGAAAAAAGTCACATTAGAAACAAACTAAGTCGAAAAAAATTGAAAATACAGAAAGTTGCACCACTATTCCATTACATTGAATTTTAATCTAAAAAGTAGCCTGGAAATGAATTACGGTGATTCAGTGAATAACTCATTATATACTAGCTCAAGTTTATCATCATCACCTGGTTCAAAAGGCACATTTCATCAACCAAAACTAAGTTTCAAGCTCGGGACAGAAGTACTTCAGTAATACAAACGAATAGACCAGATCCAGGAAAACACTAGAAGAGTATAGATGTGAATTCAAAAGAGCGGAGGAAAATGAGAAGACTCGAGAAGTGATGGTGATGATGGAGAATATAAGAGAGGAGTTCCATGAAGGAGAATGCTGCATTCAGCGCTGATCTAAATGAAGGATGGATCTTCACAAAACCGGGTTTATTGGCTGCACAAAAGATCATAAAGGACGAATGGAGGGCGATAGCAGATACAAAAAGAACTACTTTGGTATATAGAATAGGGTGCGGAAAATCAGAGGGAAGAACGACGAGCATTGACTGCGGAAATACACTGAAACGCTAGTGCGAATAGAATCGAAAGACCAACACAAGCGAAGCTGTGTGGCGTGGCCTCGGGTTGATCTTGTTGATGAGCTGTGGAATGTGGTTATAGTCGTCAAGGCAAATTACTGACCGAACCAAAAATGCCAATATAAAATAAACATGCCATGACCCAGCTTCATATAATCTGCACAAGTCTGGTAAAAGTGACTTGGTTCAACGGTATCGGGGCAGTGTTGACACTCATGCCTCAATGCCGAATAGTCACAAAGTTTATTTGTATTTTGTATTTGACGTAAGAGGATGAAGTGGATAAGGGAGGGACTTACTTCTAGCCAGTCGCAAGCATTCTGAGGTGCATATACCTCCAAACGCTTAGTCAGACAATCTATAAAGAAACTGACAGCACGAACGCCACTGGCACCGATTAGCCGCCATTTCTTGCAATGTATCCTGCCAAGCGCAGCGGGGACCTCATCCTAGAGCGCATTAACAACACCCAGATTCTTCGTAACCTCTTTCAGACCCTACTACCAGGTCAGACGTTGTCCACTTCGCAGTCTGCGCAGTTCTGAAGGGGACATGTAGAACAGTACTCGATTGTCTCGAGTTTCAGCACCGTACCACCCGGCAGTTCATTGCTATGGAGTTGTTCGCGACTGAGCACCTTCTGTACAATCAAATACCCGTTTTCTGATTACGTCGTTAAAGTCTCCGGCTCCAAAACACTATTGAAACTTTAACCGACCAGTGAGCCTAGCCTTTCATTTGGAAAAGGACTTCGGTGAGAGTTACCTTTGTTTTAAAATTTTAACTATTCAACGTGAAGACCTCTTGTATCCAGTCTAAGTTTTATCTACTAATACACTCTCCGACTGCCTTCAAATCCCTTGTGGAAGAGGCCACGTACTTTTTGTTCGAAAATATTCATTTAATATTTAATATTCATTGGACTTTTACGCCAGAAAAGCGACGCAACTCACAACCACCGACAGGCACACACCCCTTTTATTTAAACAACTGACGGAGGGCAAGCATTTGATATTCTTCTAAGTGCACAAACATCCTGTCAATGATACCAATGATATCCCTAATTGCGTCCTTTAGCGCTTTGTTTAATAGAGCCCACGAACACCTTCTAGCGGAAAAGAACGTTCAAATTCCGAACGAAGCGATCCCACTATTGGTGGTTGGGGCTTGTACTATGCATGCCCAACCACTGTCTGCTGAAGGAACCATTGTTTTCTGTTCCGAGTGGCTGTTGGAGATAGGTTCGTGGAGGACAGACCAAGACACAGCAAAGTGAAATGAAATCGGTTACTGCCAAACAGAACGCTGTGGAACATTCGCGCTTTGCTGGCGGGGGCTCACGTGATCCTGCTTGCAGTCGGCTGGACACCTTACACGACATAGCATGCAACCGGTCCCGTTGGCGCGCAAGCTGTCGTTTCCTAGCCAGGCTGCCTAGCTAAAGTTCGTCTGTGGTTGTGCGCTGGGCTTAGGTCGGGTAAAGTTCGCAAATGAAACCGGTTTGATTCAGCTGTTGGCGCCATGCTCCAACACGACGCGCAGATATGTTTATTCTGTTACTTTTCAAAGGTGCGTGCACGTTGTCCTTAAAGACTTATTTGCATTAAGTCGATGTCATTGCCTTTTCTTTCCGCTCTTTACTAAGGCTCTCTCCTATGGTTGTATGGATCCAAATACTTACTGGGCGCTTGACTAATTTAGGAACAAACCAGTCAGTCCGTTTGATCAACAAGGCCATTTTTGAGCTGCAGTGGACTAAGTGGAATTCCGACTGATGCTTAAAATTGTGTCCTACTACGCAAATAGCTCACAAGTTTGGACGAAAGCACATCGTAGAAATCACGAGATTATCAATATCTTTCCCATAATCCAGTTAAGGTTGAATTTTCACTCATCCTTCACACCATGACAAACGCATGCGTAGGTAACACATTTTTGAGAAAAACAACAAGAAACTGAGTGTAACGGCACCCATTTGTACGCTTCACGATATTTCGAAGTGTTGGTCTTATTCTCCACATTATCCTAATTTGAATATTCTTTCATAAAAAAATGTGTGCCTATCAAGTAGGCATAAACTTTAGAAATTATTCACTTGCATTTACTTGTGTTCTTGGGCGCCTTACTTCAGTGGGTGTATGTATTTTCTCCTTGACATGGTTGTACGTTATACCAGTAAACTATCATTTTAGCCGAAAAGTCAACTCAATTTCACCAGGTCATATTTACATGATTACCTACGGCTGCAAAAATAACGAAAAACACCCGGTTGTGGAAACTGTTTACGTCGAAACCGCAGTTGAAGAAAGCTATGGAACACAAGTAAACAGTCTAAGGGAAGACTTGTACCAGATTATGGAGAGCGACGTGGCATTCTCTAGGTCAATGCTACGAGAAAGAAAACTTTCCAGACCACGCGGAGGTGAAGGAAAGAAAACATTTTGAGTCATTTTAGATCCTCCCCTGCGCAGGAAAATCTAGGCTCTGCAACCGGGATTTGTGCAACTGATAAGTAGTGCCATATTTTGTCTGTGATTAAGTTAGTCGCGTTGCCAATAGGTTGTCTGTGGCCTAACAGCAAAGCATAAAACATCCACTTATACACCAATTTCCTTCCAATAATCACTCATATCCAAATACCGGTAGCAATTTGGCTCATGAGATTTGATTAGGTAGAAAATTTCACATACCTGGCCCGCAAGAGATCCCAATGGTGCCAGATGTCATCAAGTAGATCTCAAATATTTCCGTTCAGTTATTTTGAAGGCCGGAAACATCTGTTAACTTCAGGGTGAATGCAGTTGGACCAGAATATCATACTGTCAGTCTCCTGAACAGATCCTCTCCTCAAGTGCCTCGTAGGTATCGGTATAGCTCTGGTGGCGTGCACAACTATGACATCCAAACGAGCAAAACACTAGGAACTTCCAACTAAGTTGGATGGCAAGTGGCTTAACAGAACAGCGTATATATANTATATATATACAACGAGACTGGGCAATAGAAACCAATAAAATTGTAGTTCACAGAGTGGGTACCTAAAACTGGACCTGCCTTGGTTGTAGATAATTTGTACGAAGAAATGCCCTCCGGGAAGATGAAAAATCACTCTGACTATCAGCTGAGCGGCAAACAGTGACCCACAGATGACGGCCTAGAAGAGTAAGCAGATCATCATGGAATTTCCCACCCGTTACCTATCGACTCAAGCCTACTCTCCCGGGTGGCGCTTTTTGCGAAATTTTCATTTAGCTGACTGATGAAAAGCAACTGTTGTTCAAATTCGAAAGTGTTGGGCAACTGAAAAAGAATAGTCTACGATAAGAGTTTGAAGAAATTACAATATGAAACACAACCGACCAATGGTGTTATGAGCCCTGTTGCTGAGTTGAGGATAAATATTATTTAATTCTCTTCGGCAAAAAATTAGTGACACGGATACCGTTATTTTTCAAACGCTAACATATAAATTTAATCTTGAATATTGTGGCCTAACTGAGGAATACGGAACAGCTTGCTTAACCGAAATTCACAGGTTTATGAATGTAGCAGCACACTACGCAGCACGATATGAAAGCCAAGAAGGAAATGTCGTTGCACTTCCTGGAATTTCTTGTTCTCACAGTTCAATTTCTTATGTTGATAGTATCTCCTTTGAAGCTAATCTATGGGTGCAGACGCCACTGCAGTGAAACGAAGGATTGAGACCAGGCGCCTTAACATTTATCTTATCAACTCCAGCTAATTGATTCGATCGTTCAATTGTTGCTATTTCACATTTCTTATGGGCCCTCTGAGACAATACCATGTACATGGTGCCCAACATTTCGCGACCGAGCAGTTTCCTCTAAGCGCTCACTGAGAATGGAGCACTTGCAGCTGTTCGGCGGCTTGACTGAGTGGCTCCCGTCATTAAAATAACAAAGTCACAATATTTTAGCGGAAGTCTGCTTATCACAAGCAATAAAAGCTCTATCTGCCCCAAGAATTCGAAATCTACAAAACACAGAGCTAACTTAAAATACAAGGCCTAGTGGCACATCTAGGTTGGGAGATTACATAAAGTGGCAACCAAATGGAACAACTCACGGGAAGAAAGCACAGCGTCTACATTGTGTTGACTTTGGTCGTTAGTCATAGGGAGAGTGCAGCCAATTCCAGAAGTTTGAAAAGTCGAGACCGAGGGACATGTCTTTACTGCAAAGGTGCTATCTTGCGCACCTGGTCCCGTCGGGAAAGTTATGGACGGTGTAAATCTCCAATAGGATGCTGTAGATTCAAAGTCTGTCTCCACGGTTAATGGACATGTCAAGGAGAAAGGGTTCAGTCGGTATGATACAATATTGTAACGACCCGCTTCAGTTTCGTATTCCTCTTCTTTTTTTGGAATACTCGGACTGCCATTCTGGGGGTCTTGTGTCATCCAAAGTCGTTCCGGTTGCTCTACCTCTTTTTTTGACGCTTGCTGAAAGCCATTGCAGTGACTGGAAGGCAAGATACAACAGAAAGACTATACAATTTGGGCTGATCAATGGAATAACGCAAGATGTGTTGGTTCACTGCATGAGCTTATAAAATTTTGAACATCAAGTATAATAGGATAGGGGTTACGCTCCTTTGAGCCTCTAAATTTTAACACAAATTGACGGATAGACGCCCATGACCATCGTGCAATAAAGGGCTCATGCAAAGCCGAAGTTACAGCCGCACATAAAAATGATGATTTAGAGGTCGGCTGTTAGACGGGAGTTTATCTATTTCGTTTTTGCATTTTGACAAAACTGAATTTGGATGTGCTTCACTTTTTGGAGCTCTATGGAAACGTATGGAAGTATTTCGAGGCCATAAAGATCTTGCCCCATTCTCGAAGCAGTATTTAAAGTTTCTCGGCTTTTTGGATGATCTCAGACCCAAGATTTATACAAATGTAAACCTCCGCTGTTCACCATAGTATTCACACGAACCGCTTGTACCACTAGTTCATCGAGGATTAGAACGTATTTATGTTCGTTTACTCTAGTTGACGGTCTAACTCAAGGTCATCGAAAAATTTGCCACGCCAGACGACTTCTATACCTTAGCTACGGGCTTGAGTCGCACGCTGCAACTGATCGTCTAAAAGGGTTATTTCATGCCTTCTCGTCCTGCATACATACTACAGGTGGACGCCGAAACAATAAGGTAACGAAAACACTTGGGTGATGCTATACTGTGGCAGATGCAGTATTAGACTGATAATACAAGGAAAATGGCGGAATACACGATACTTCCACCATAAAAAGGCAATTGGTAGCAGATTCCTCCATCATTGTTAGCCTTGTTGATGGCTTACAACAAGTTCTTGTACGTTTATCTAGCAAACTTGTTACCTCGGGTCCACATCGGTGACAAGGGCTTGCGTGTAACACAAGCAGGTTGGCACTGAAAGTTTGTTGCTTTCCTACGATGTGCGGTCCTCCAGTGGTTGGAGCAATTTCGACCAGCAGATCTGATCCATATTCAGTCATATTTATGGCGAATATGCATGGCGAGCGTCCTGTGATCGTATCTTCACCAACAATAATCGTTATGATCGCAGAATAGGCAGTTTATCTCTTCATGTACAAGGAGTGATAACTGAGGGGCACAGGCCGTTCAATATTCGCATACATATACAGAATTATTCCGCGGCTTGTATGGCTAACAGCTGAGCTTGAGAAAATCAATGAAAACGAAATTGGCTGAGGGCACGCTTGTATAAATCGAGTCTTAGAACGGTTTACTTTGTGTCAGTAGTAAAAATCCATATTCTGCAACCAGGGAAGTTTCAGACTATTGCTCCTTCTATAAGTACTGCGGAGATGTCCAAATCTACTTTTAGACTTTATCGTGCAGAGAAGAAAGCACCATATACTTTAAAGCTGGAAGTCACTTTACAGTTAAGGCGTCCCTATTTAGAATCGTCGGTAGTGCGCTACTGAAAATTCTTCAGGATTGTCCGGAGTCGTAAACCAACGGTGAAGGAATCAACACTAGAACGACTACGTCGTCACGCTTGACGGAAACTGATGTTCGAAGAGAAGTATCCACAGCAGGTATCATGAATGCTATCGATCGCCTAACTGGTTATTCCTCATATGCTGTTGTAAGCAGTTGCCCCATCTTTTAGCCTTGACACTAGTTTGTAACCAACTGCAGTCAAATGCATCTGCAGTCTTCAACGATTATCACTGAAAATAAGAGGACGTTGGCCTCAAACTTCACAATTAGAACTATTCAAACATTAAAACGCAAGAAAAATACCCATATGACCGCTGATTTGATTGATTTCAGTTCCGCTTTACAGATTAACCTTGCGAAGGCCGAGCTAAACGAAACGGTCTGCATTAAAAGCCACTTAGGAGTTCCACGGAAATGGTTGAACTGATTTTTAGGATGAAGACACGTTTGGTCAGAGCAGTTCGAAATTTCTCGCTTAACAATTGAACCGTACTTTGTCCTTGGGATTTTCATAAAATTGAGATCATCACCGCAGTCTAAAAGTTACTACGTTTCATGTATTTCGTTACTCAAATCTGAACAACTAGCTCAAAAATCTACTTCGCTGCTTGCTTTGATTCAGGGAACATCAATAACTGATACGCTACTAATCAGAATGGTTGCTGACTGATTCCGTGGGTATGCGGTCATGAGAAGTGACACACGGAAGAGCCACATAGCTTTAATGCCATGACATGTGGAGATGCAACAGTTAAGGGTTTTAATGCGAACCGACAAACCTGAACAATCTTAGGAGGTTACGGTCACTGCTAGCAGCGAATGATGCATCGCTTATATTTTTACGGTTGGGTGATGATAACTCGTTTTTTCTTTGAATTTCGAGCCTAAAAAATCGGGAAAGCCTGAAGTCGACCATCTGTAGGCCACAGATTCGGTTTGCAGTTTGCAATGGCAGTTGTACTTTTAGGACATCTTAGTTGGCACCGCACATTTTAAGTGTAAATAACTCTTGAAGAAACGCCAATCAAGAGTTTGTGGAAAAATCCTCCATGGCGCACTACCGGTTTCTCGCTACATTGAGTGGTTGATGGGAACTTGGGGACTGTAGCTACTTGATGAGGCTCCAGAAGGGCGAAACCGGTTGTGGGTTGTCGAATAGTTTTTAGAAGCCCCATTGATAGTGTTCTGTCAAGAAAATATACCGCGATATCTCGAACTCCGTACCAACTGAAACACGAAATGATCTTGGTGCAGCACATTCGGTTGAGGGGTTCCCCTGGGAATCAACTGAATCCCAGATTTTCTCGCCTTCTGGTTACTTTACCGCGGAATATCATTTTACGCCTACTTACAATGCAGAAAAATATTCTGTGTCGATCACCTGCCGCACACAGCATCACAATATCAGTGAAATTACCAGTGAACTAACGAACGCTTTCATAAGAAATTCGAAAGGCTTATAGACCCACTCCTCAGGGACAGTCGATTAATGTGGGATCTGAAACACCAATTCGAAGGGATACAATTGTCATAAGCTTAAAATCTTGTGAAAAGTTTACTCGCGTTATACGGCTCAATAATAGAAAGCAATCTACAGACTTACGTTGATGCACAGCCTTACCGCCTCCCCCAGCAAATACGCAGGAATATTTGTACGGATCGCAAGCCCAATATACACTAGTGATGGTGTCTAGATGAAACATTCTTATTTGCTTGTCCAGATGGGCTTCAGATTGGTGCTCGACACCTCTGCAAAGGTGCTTAAAAACATCTTGCTATCTATTAGGATGAAAGAGAACCACGATGTCGTATACCTTTATTTGGGCTAAGTACATCGACACATGTGTGCGGCTTTTGTTGATGTCTTGTTCTTCTATTCGATGGTGATAAAGTGTAGAATGCTAAATCCCAAATTTTAGAGGCACGAAGACCCGATTTACCAGCAAATATTGAGTCATGCATTATTTATTCTAGTGCTTCAGAACGACTCAAGCTCCGTTCAGAACTGTTACAATCCAGCAAGTTCGAGATTTTGGAGTTTTACAGTTTTCACTGTAGTATACGACAGCGTCATCGCGCTCCCTCAGAGAAGAATACTGATTTGGCGAGTTCAGTGCTTTTATTGCTAGTTACACATTATCAGGTCTAAAGAATTACCCAACCAACTACAAATTACCCCTGGACCGATCGACAGTGATACACAGGATGAGGCTGCTTTTCTGGTATTATCGTAGGGTTTTGCATAAACGAAACGCGGAGATAAAACTTTGAGATTTCTCAAACAAGTCCCCGGACCATGACACATTTAAGTCAATGAAAAAGTACAAACCTTGTTGGCAAAAATTGGCCTCTGCTTCTGGGAACCGATGAAGGTGTGTCATGAACGTGAACCGGGCACGAGGGATTTTGTCCTTCACAAAAAGAGTCTTCCGCAGTATTCACAGTCTCAACCAGCAGAACAATTTTTGTACTTGGAAAACGCAACTTCACGCTAAATAGAACGTCGCTTGACAAATTTACGGATAAAATACCTGTCAGGTAGTAGGATGGGTTCTTGATTGCTCGCATGGAATATGTTATTGATAAATATTCCATTCTTGCTAAAACATCTCAAAAACAGTTCACTATGTATTCTTAATAGTTCGAGGTGTTTCCTGGATACGTGTGCTGAATCGTCTATGGCAACATCGAGTGGAACACGACCTTTTCTTCCAACAGTTATCTGCTCCTTCTCGGTGAAAACGGTCAACTTCGGCCCAGTTATTTTTGTACAGATTACAGGATTCGCGGGCATGGACAAACACGTAGTGTGCTGCTTTGGTAAACGGCTTTTCGTAGGCCGAGTTTTCACAGAAAACTCTGCGGATGGAAAACAGAACGCGTCTTACACAGAGCAAAATTTACACGGAATACTTACTTCATAATCACTTGATCATCAAAATTGTGCATTAAATCCTCTCACTCACAAGAATACTATCCTGTGAGCTTAATGACTTACCTACGCGGCCCATGAATGTAATATGTTTCGAGATATGAAGTGCATTAGCGTGGTCTGATGACTGAATCAGTCCGTTCGTGTCAAACGACGTGCAGCAGGTTTTGGTCAAACAGAAGTGACAAGGAACTTCCGATGGTGGGGGTTGAGTCCGAATACTATTAATGAAGGGACAGTGATGACATTCTTGGGAGCTATACGTTTTACGAGGGCTAAAACAGTCCACGCTAGAGAGGAGACAATAGGGTGCAGCGAGAATATTACTGTTCGTCACTGCATGACGGCAGATGCCAGCACTGTAAACTATTTCGGCTTGTCTTTGGTCTCAAAATCAAGCGAAGATTTCTTGGAGTCCTACTGCGCTTGATTCGATCACATCACTTTCTTTAACAAGCGGCATGAGTAGTATGCTGCACACAGGATTTGATATCCATCAGCAGCTAGCACTAACCTCTCGAGAAAGCTCAATGCTCATCGATTCGGATGTGTGCGGCAATCCCTTTTCACAAGGAAAGTTTCTGAACCAGTATAAGGTACTAGGTAGACCTTTTTTTGAACCAGTATAAGGTACTAGGTAGACCTTTAATTAACCTTTAAACAAGCTCAGGTGGCCAAAATAACATTCGCGCCACTAATTGTCAGATATGTCTGCAGAACTAGTTTTTCAATTAAGATGAACTTCAGTTGGTATGAGTAGGGACTCCGTTTATCTTCATTTTTCTTGACTATAGTGCCCCGCAAGTCTCTCTTCAGCATCACTCATTTGATTGCCCATCTTTTTCACTTAATTGCTCCTTTTTCACCTTATGAAAGCTGACGGAAAGGACAGGGATAAGCTTGGTAAAGACAGTTGTTGGCAAAATCTCAGCTTAAAAGCTGCTCCGTTTTTACGGGCATAAGGAAAATCCGCATCATCCAAAGAATGATCAATGTGACTCTAAGCCCAAGATGTACATCAGATCAACCTGATACACCCAAAATATGGATAAGCGTAGTCTAAAGCATGGAATCAGAGATCGAAAATTTTGTTTGTAATCTAGAAGGCCGAGGCAGTCGTATGGCATGCAGTGGATGTGGCTTAGAAGCTCCTGGATTTCCTCAGTGGCGGGGCGTTGTGCAAGTTCTGGTATCCTCTGATCACTTTGAGTGAAGGACTTTGTGCTTGTAATATGTATCAAAACTTGCCATGATGTATTACACGATTTGAATAAGAAAGCGTGATTTGAGCTGCTTGATAGGTCTCTGTATGGATACAAGGTTCTGCTAAGCTGCGTCTGCTGATTTATATCGCTGGGTTTTGTTGTACGAATGCCTATAGCAGTAGCACCTTTTGGGTACTATGAGGGCTAGGGTACTGCAAGGTTGCCCAAGCCTAGACAGGGGAAGTCGAGATTCAGAGGTTGGATCCGAACCATGGATCTTCCAGTCAGTAAATTCGAGCTCCAACCACAGAGTCATCTCGCCCCCGACTAGCTTTAGAGCCCTCATAGTTTGTGGGTTGAATCTTATATTGGCTTAAACAGTTGGGTTTGAGACAAACAAAAGAAAACATATCTACTGGACACACTGTGTCTGTTTTGAACCGATTGTGGCCGTAAGGCAAACAGATTTTCCTCCAGAGCCTCGCCAGCAAACCGTTGGTCCGGGGAGAATTGAGAGATAGGTGAGCAGCGAGGCCCCACTAGTAGCCCACGTAGTACTTTACTTCAGCTAGGTCAACGACCGAAAAGCGTTCGACAAAGCACAACAAAAGCAGCTTTGTTCTGCAGGTAACAGCGGAAACACTACAGAAGAAAAACTATGAATGTCGTACGTAACTATAGTTTTGTATACGGAACTCGTATCTTACACTGTTAGAAGCTCTGGAGGAACCAAGCCCTCAGCCAGTTTTTGGTTACGTCTCTCTTTTCAGTAAATGGGTTGTCAGGCAGAATCTTTGTTTCCAAGCTCCAGTGTTTGGCGAGGGGCGTTTAGATCCAGGAGCAGCGATAGATTGGGTTAATGGAAGTAGATTGCTTACACAGGTTATTAGCTGTTCCTTCCGGCGTGTCCACACAGGCACCTTTGGTTAGATTCGCAGAGATGCCATGTTTCACCTTTCCGAGGTAGTTGACGTTCTGGTGCAGGAGACTACGTTTCGCTGTAAATTTGGCCACGAGAAAATTCTTCTGGTTTCCTTCGTACTCTAGAATAGAGGAAATGCGTAAATACCCCGTCTCTATGCAGTGTTGTGTAATTTATTTCTGGTGACACCGCGCGCTCTACCGTCTGAGAAGTCATTTCTGATCACGTACGTTGAGCTGGTGGATATAATAGTTACTGCGGTTTCAGAAGCTGAGCTGGTGATAGTCACGGTCCGACCTGTAACCTTTTCTGATGGCGGGTTTCGATTATGATCCATTCATTGATTCGTGCAAGACCCTTTTAAGTACTTTGGCTTCAGGTTTGGTACGAATTGTAAGGGAATCTTACCCTTCTACACAGGTCAATTAGTAGGAAATGAAAACCATATTATCAGTGCATCCTAAAGGTACTATGTGTTTGATGGCTTCTACTGGTAACTCTTCGGTGACCACAAGGGGGAAAAGAAAGGAAGGGTTGTAAAGCCTGAATTTCAGGCTAGCTGCTCAATAGGTCAAGCAAAGCGTTCGTGAAGAAAGTGTCAACGGACCAATAGCTCAGGAGAGGTGACATCTTATAGACCGACATTATAAGAATATGGGTGTGGAAGAGGCATGAGACATCCTGATCCGTTATGAATATAACCTCATCTGAATAGTTGCCCAGAGTATCGTAAACCAGTGCTATGAGACAAAATTTTTTACTGTATGCATGTAAGAGAATCGGCAAGTAAGCAGGATCACAGAAAGTTAGCGTTGCGGTAGGGGATTACTTCGCGCCACCGATCTCGTTTGATCGGTGAATCGTGGATACAGACATTATGTGCCGTGGACATCCGTTACGGCTGTAAAGCCCCAGAGAGTGTGTAGCGGCGGTTGACTACAGCATGCTTGCTGCAGGGTGCTTGGACGTTAGTATACCTGCAAGTGAAAGGCTCAGGGATAAGGACCTATGTAGGGAGTGAGTGTTCTTCTCTAACTTGGGACGCCTCCAAGAAGTTTTTAAGTGTGGTTTCAGTGAGTTGTCTCGCTGAAAGGAACGATCAAAGGATGCATCGGTGCCATGTGCTTGATGCGCACTGCCATTGGTGAGCAGTAGTGTTCCTTGCTGCACCTTGCTTGTGGTGTAGATCTGCGGATGGTGTACCACACAGCGAGAACCAGAGTGGCCACTTGTCATAAAGACGAACAGCCTATTGCTTATGTAGTCAACTGACACTTGAATGAGGAACATATCAGCAGTGAAGACATCGTTCGATTTTAGGAGCTTCTGGACGTGTTTTCGCTTGTTGCAATCACGAGCATAGTTGTCTTTTCTGACGGGGTTCACTAGTTTCATAGTTCCTTTCCTGTCACGTCTGGTTACAGTTGGATTCGTTGGCCTTCGAGCGATTGCATTGATTGATGGAATGTGAGGATAGAAACGCATGCAGTCCCATTGCGGATAAAGATGTCCAATAAACCTGTGTCAACCTCCTTACTGCATGCAATAGCCTGGACTAGTGGAAAGGGTAGAGTTCGGATACCGCATGATCCTATACAACCAGGCCGGTTTGAATGAAGCGTTCCGTTTGCTGGCATAGACTTGTATTGTGAGCTTTATCTATATACTTAGGAGCGGTGACGAAGGGTGCGGATGGCTTGGGCGAATAAGTAAAAATAATCTTGGGATTTTATGGGCTTCTTTGTTATTATACCACTGCTTTTTGGGGTGTCAATGCTTTTGAGGAAACTTAGTTCAAGGGACCGAAACGCTCGGTGATAGACAGGCATTTTGGTTTGTTGGTGAAATTGTGACTCTTGGTGCCGATTATTTTACTGATCAATTGTAATAATTTTAGAAGCTTTTGATGCTTCTGTTCCGTTATTATTTCCTTGGAAAGCAGGGTACCCCACTGTTACTCGAACTACAAGGAGGTTGAAAAGGAATGCCTTATCAGGGAATTCTGTAGACATTGAAAAAAACCAAGAGTTTTCATGTACCCAATCTGTTTATCGAACTGAGCATAGACTAGTGTAGACTGAAAGAAGCCATCTCGCAACGTAGGGGGAATCGATTCTCTTCACATCTGCCACAGATTGGAAATTTTTGATCCAACCTGAGTTGAACGATTGAATAATGGTTGAATGCCCCTCAAAGCAACCGATGAGTGGGGAAAAAGGTATCTTGCAGACAAGCGTACTAATGTCCCTTCCGATACGTACCCTGTGCCTGCCGCCACGCAAAGGAGTCCTCAAGGTCAAAAGACATAGGCAACGAGTAAAGTATGTATTCCGCGTCAGCTCGTTTCTTCACAAATAGTTATTTCATTCCCAGTCCCACCGTCGATTACAAGATAGGGTTCATCAGGGATTGCAGAATTTCTGACCTCAAGCTTCTCGCATCCTGAAGACGGCAATGTATGTAAGGGTATGTAGGTGTATAAAGGCTACACAATACATTGTTTTAAACATTATTTGAGTTCTTTTTGGTGGCTGCA